CAAGGACAGATACAGTAAAAAGCTGAATTTTTTTTTTTTTTTTTATTTGCATTCACTCGCAACAAGGCTGCAAGCAACCACTATTAAGTTGGGAGTTACTAGGAAAAAAAAAGAACAGAGTTATAGAGCAAGGAAACGGTTGACAGAAGACTTGAAAAGTTGAAGGTTGTATGAGTCAGGAAAACATAAAGATGGGAGAGAGTTCCAAAGGATTGAAGTGCGGGGGAAAAAACTAGATGAATAAAAGTTTTTAGAGCATGCTGGGACAGATACAGTAAACGAATGAGACTTAGCTGAATGACAAGTAAAACGAGAATGAATTTTAGTTGATGGAACTAGAGATGATAACTCCTTTGAGCAGTGACCATGATAGTATTTGTAGAAAAGAGAAAGAGATGCAACTTTACGACTATGGGAAAGAGGCTCAAGCTTAGCAGATAGTCCAGGTCCAACAACATTTACAATGCGTTTTTGGACCTTGTCAAGAAGAGAAAGTGAATCGTTAGAAGAACCAGCCCAAATATGACAACAGTATTCCATACAGGGACGAATAAGAGATTTGTAGAGGTAGAGAATGGAATCAGAAGTAAGAAAATGGCGAGCACGATAAAGAGAAGCAACCTTAGCAGAAGCTAATTTAGCAATCGATTGTATATATGGTTTCCATGAAAGGTCAGTAGTAAGCGATAATCCAAGAAGACGTAAAGAGGAGGGCTCAGTAAGAGGATTGCCATTCATTAATATAGGAATGTTGACCATATTACGGTAGTTGTTTGCAGTAAACAACTGGGTTTTGTTAAGTTAAAATTCACAAGCCAGCCTGAATCCAGGAGGTTATGTAGGAGGCGCATTTGTCAGCTGAGAGAGAAAAAACATCAGCCCAATCACGAAAGGAATTATAGTCAGCTTTAGGGTAGTAGTAGGTGGTTCGATGATAAGGTGAGCCCAAAAAAGAAGTACGAGAAGAAAGATTTATAGAGATCATTGCATGGTCAGAACCACCTAAGGGAGAAAAGCGAGAAACTGAACATAAGCTAAGGTCAGAGACAAGACATAAGTCAAGGAGTGAAGGTAAATGATTAGGGTTGTCAGGAAAACGAGTCACAAAGTTAACTATCTGAGTAAGAGATTGAGAAACGCAGAAGTTAAAGGCTTTAGTGCCAGCAGGATCAGTGGTGTTAGAGCTAAGCCATTCAGTGTGATGGGCATTAAAATCACCAACAACAACAATATTGGCAGAGGGGTAAAGAGAGAGGGCATGGTCAATTTGATCAGAGATAACATCTAAAAGAGTGCAATCCTGGAAAGAAGGAGAACGATAAAGAACAAAGAGAAAGGTGATAGAGTGAAGAGGTGCTAGGCGAAAGCACATAAAAGAATGGTCAAAGAATTCAAACCTGATTTCACGACAAATTGGGGAATTAATGCGTATGTATACCCCTAAACCTAGCATGTGACTATTGGAGTCTTTACGAATCAAAGGATAGTACCCATCAACACTGACATCTGAAGAAGGAATTGCAGAATTTAAATTTGTTTTACTGAGTGCAAGCAAGTCTGGTGAATTTTGCAGGAGGTAAGACTCAACTGATGGAAAGTTGCTTCGTAGACGGCGAATATTTGTAAAAGATATATTAAAATATTTAGGTGGTGGGGATGGTTTTTTAGGTTTTAAATTTTTGGTTACTTTGGTCATGATTTGGGTTTAATGAGAACTAGACTCATTCATAGATAGAGCACAGCCTCCTAATCAATGAGCTATGCAGTTGTCTCAGTCCTGTTAATTAACCCTAAGCCGTGACATAGGGCTCCTTATGTGGCCTTGACAATGCACACCAAAAACATTAACAGGGACACCATCCATGCGCAACATGGCACTGTTAATACTCTGATATTTTGCAGCTGTTGATGGAATCAGCCTCTCTGAGAGCTACCTCAGAGTTCGGGAAACCTTACTACCAGCCGGCCTCAGAACCATTAAACTGAGTTTTAGAGCTGTACCCTCATATGGAGATAACAGGAAGAATTGCATAGCCATTATCAAGGAGGCATAAGCAAAATTCTATGAGTAGAGTCAAGAAGATCCAGCATTCATCATCCTAGGCAGGAAACAATGTAACACAGGTTACATCTACGCCAGCCTAATAGATGAAGAAGGGGTTCGAGGCTGGTTAGCAGAATTTTTCTGCTTACCCCTAAAGTCTTTGCCTAGGAGACCTTCTACAAGACAGTAGCTGGATGCAGTTAACATCTGCCCAAGATGAGTATTTTTATTGAGACACCATCTCTAGCCTTTACTCAACCAAGAGCCCCAAGGCAGGGGATGTTTAGCTGGATGCAGTTAACATCTGCCCAAGATGAGTGATTTTATCGAGACACCATCTATAGCCTTTACTCAAACACGAACTTGACGAAAAAACTCCAAAACACGAACCTTGACGAACAAGGCCGCTGCGCGGAGAAACGAATTGAGCGCGGTACTACCAGGGACGTGGTGGGG